GCGAGGCGGGCACCAGGGCAGGGTGCCTCCCGCTCTGTGTGCGAGGCGGGCACCAGGGCAGGGCGCCTCCCCCTCTGTGTGTGAGGCCGGCTTGCCTCCGAGCAGGTGAGCAGAGCCACTCTGAGCGCACTGGCCTTGCCGGTGCCCCTCTGGCCTTCGCCCAGCCTCTCCTGGCACGTGGGCAGGCAAGCGTGGGTGGGCAGATCACGGGAGCCCCAGGGATGCTCCCTCTCGGCCCAGGCCAGTGTTTCTCAACTCTTTTCCATGATTGCCCTCGTAAGGAGCCTTTTAGACATTTCCCCCTGATCATTCCCTCACCTCTAAGAAATGTAAGTATCACAGATATACTACGCTGTGTTGTACAAGTATCTGTGTTTTATACATAAACAGTAAGATTTTTTCACCCCCTCCTCCCAGGACCAGTTTTCACCCTGTTGGGGGTGATATGGCCCAGCTGAGAACGCATGGCCCAGACTGAGGCCTCAGTTCTGCCCTCAGTGCAGCTCTCTGCGTGGGGGAGCTCTGCGTGTGGGGATCTCTGCGTGGGGGAGCTCTGCGTGGGAGATCTCTCTGCCTGGGGGAGCTCTGCGTGGGGGGAGCTCTGCGTGGGGTGGGGGGATCTCTGCGTGGGGGAGCTCTGCCTGGGGGGATCTCTGCGTGGGGGAGCTCTGCCTGGGGGGATCTCTGCGTGGGGGAGCTCTGCCTGGGGGGATCTCTGCGTGGGGGAGCTCTGCTGGGGAATCTCTGCGTGGGGGAGCTCTGCCTGGGGGATCTCTGCCTGGGGGATCTCTGCCTGGGGGATCTCTGCGTGGGGGATCTCTCTGCGTGGGGGATCTCTCTGCGTGGGAGATCTCTCTGCGTGAGGGAGCTCTGCCTGGGAGATCTCTGCGTGGGGGAGCTCTGCCTGGGAGATCTCTGCGTGGGGGAGCTATGCGTGGGGGAACTCTGCGTGGGAGATCTCTGCGTGGGGGAGCTCTGCCTGGGAGATCTCTCTGCGTGGGGGATCTCTCTGCGTGGGGGATCTCTGCGTGGGAGATCTCTGCGTGGGGGAGCTCTGCGTGGGGGAGCTCTGCGTGGGGGATCTCTGCGTGTGGGAGCTCTGCCTGGGAGATGTCCACGAGCTGCCCGATACCCAGCAGGTCACTGCAAGGAGGACATGCAGGCCCAGTGTAGCCCATTCAAATAATTTTCCAAAAAAAACAAGAAATTCGGACTTTTAGGTAAAAATTTTCTGATTTCTGCCCTGGCTGGTTTGGCTCAGCAGTGGGAGCTTTGGCTTGCGGACCAGAGAGTCTCGGGTTCGGTTCCCGCTCGGGGTACATACCAAAAAAAAAACAAAAACAAAAAAACTTTTGATTTCTAAATGTCAGCAATAAATTCAATATTTTTAGTATGTATAGGGCAATCCACAGGACACCTATCTGCAGATGGGACTCTGGACAAATGCCAGTGTGTACTGGGCTAAGCCCTGAGGCAACGTGGGTGGGAACACCTGAGACCCAGGGCCTCGTCAGTGCGGGGTGGGGCCCTCCCCCAACCCCTCCGTGAGAGGAACAGAGGAACGGCCACTCCACTGTGATGTGTTGGGACGCTGCTTCCTGTGACTGCTGCCCCCATGATGCCTGTGGTGAGTACCTCTCTGGAGCTGTTGGAGAACCTCAGCAAGCGGTCGATGTACTCCTTGGCCTTGTCATGGCGGCCCATGAGCCAGAGGAAGAGGCCGGCATAGTACAGGGCAGTCCCGCCGGCCGTCTTGCGCATTTCCTTCAGGCTGCTCTCCAGCTCCTGAATCGCTTCCCGGTCTGTGGATTGAGGGGGGAGCGAGAGGACAGGTGAGGGTGAGGGGGTGTACCTGGTCCTGCAGGGGCACCGAGGGCCCAGGCAGCTGTCACTGGACACTCTGGGGCCCCCTCAACACATGGGCCCAAGTACACACCAGCCTGGGCCTGGAAACCAGCAACACTGGCCCCTGTGGTGCCATAGGAGCTGCCCAGGCCTGGACTTGCTGTCTCAGATTTATCTTTTCTCTTTGGTGCCCAACAGCATGCTGAGCAAGACCAAACCCGAATCCCCCACTTCATGCCCACAATTCCTTTTGGGTGGGGAAATAGTTGCTTGCAGTCACTTGGAACCTCTCTGTAGAGAAGTGATTAGCAGCAGAATTATTTATATCAGCTTGATTTTTCTTGACATCTTAGCAAAGGAAAGCAGGGTGTCTCCCCAATTCTTGGGATCTGGAAGGAGGACCCCTCCCACTGTCCTGCTCTCTGCCTATTGGTTCCATTCAATTAGGCCTGGGCATGGGGTCTTCTTTGAGGCCTTGCAGGGGAGGGGAACAGCAGCTGCTCCTAACAGGCCAACAGAGCCTGCAGTCACCAGGGCACACACCTCCTTCTGCAGCCCTGGAGGGGCTACTTTTCCCTGGTGGGGCCAGGCCCAGCTGAGCGTAGCTGCACTCACCGATGGTTTCACAGCACTTGTGAGCATACATTAGGGCCATGACGGAGCACAGGGACACGTCTGGGTGATTCCGGATGCTCTCGAGATGGCTGATGGCATCCTGGATGCGCTCTGCAGAGAGACCACGTGGTTATGCTCTTGGGCTCCAGGCACAGAGGGCAGGAGGCTCCATGGCAGGGACACCGGAGTCCTTATTGGGGCTGACCTAAGGCTTGGCACCACCTCACTTCACCCAGAATCGGAGGACTAATTGGTCTCAAAGGTCCCCAAAGGCCTTGGGGTCAATGAAGACAGGAGGGCTTGGAGCTGAGGATGTACCCATGAGCAGGGATACCTGCGAGGCTGTGTTTTTTGGCTTGGGTCAGTCCTGAAGAAGGCCCTCAGGCCAGTTGCTCAACAGACAATGCTTACATTTAGCCCTCCATGTTTACTGATGTTGGCCATAGGCGGCTCAGCCTGTCCCCCGCCCAGGACCACCTTCTGAATGCCAGTGAGTCAGCACGGGTCCCACTTCTCTCCCTGCTCCTGGGCCATACCTGCTGGTGCCCACACCCACCACTTCCTCCTTTTCCTGCGCTACCAGCTCTCAGCTTCCAAGCCTGGGATCAGTTTAATAAGCATGCAGTCATTTCTCCACCCACGCATTATCCAGATGGGGAAACTGAGGTGCAGAGCAGCAGTAGTGAGCCCTCTCAGGTCTCAAAGTCAACTAGATATGGGTTGCACAGGCTTCTGTGGATTAACCTGGCGATCATGGCACTGAATGTAAGACTGTCTCCGTGACCGGGATAGAAGTGGGCATCTGGGTGGTCAGTGTTAGTGCTGGGCTAGTGCCCAGGTCAGGAGGCCATCACTGACGAGTCCTTACCTTCCCTGAAGACTCCATAGGCTTTAAAGAACTGCAGCACAGGGTCGTTGCTGAATTTTTCCAGGCCCATGGCTGCAGCCTGCTGCACATGGTGGAAGTACTGTTCCTGGCTGTAGTAAATGATCCCAGCCTGGGGGTTGGGGTGGAGGGAGACACTGTTGCAATAGCCCTTCTCTGTCTCTGTTCTGACCCACTCCCTCCCCTATTCCCTGCTCCTCCTCAGTTCAGTAAGGAAAAGAGAAAGAGAACTCTCAAGTCTCATCCTTTTCACCAACCCCAGGAGCAGTTTCCCCAGGAAGAAGTTTGGAGGTGTTTGCTTTGGAATTATCCACAGATTCTGGTTCAGATGTGGAGCATTCAACTCAAGCTGTTTTAGTAAGGAACTAAGGGGAAAGAGAGGGGACCGATAATAAGAATAATTACATCAAGTAGTTAGTTACAACTTATTATAGGCTAACCACCTGCTGGAAACTGTACCCAGGGCTTTACATCCATTATCTTCTGCATTATTCTCTCCATATCCTTCCCAGTTCAGAGAGCTGAAGGCCATGGAGACTGTGGCTTGACAAAGTTCATGCAGTAACAGGGGCTGAGATTTCAAAGCGAGTCTCACTTCCCCTATAGTGTGTGGGTGCTAGGGTTGCAGACAGAGGTGACTGGATTGTAACAGCCACAAGGGTCATAGGAAAGAACCCAGACATCATCCTCAGGGCAACGGGAAGCAGTTGGAACGGTTTGAAGCAGGAGAGAGGGATGTATTCAGATGTATGTTTTTGCAAAAACCACTCAGGTGGCTGTGTGTGCGTGCGTGCGTGTGTGTATGTGTGGTGTGGGTTTGGTAGGGGGAACTGCTGGTGAAGGGAGCTGAAGAAGAGAACCAGTTGGGCAGGGGACTGTTACAGGTGCGCAGGGGAGAAATATGGTGACCCTGGGCTCAGAGATAAAAGAAGTGGGTGATCTCGGGAGACATTTAGGAGCTGACTGCTACATAGGCTCAGGGGATGGGTATGAGGAAGAGTTGAAGCTGGGGGATCAAATGGTGGGGCCATCTACTGAGATGGGGGACACAGAAGAGGCACAGCAAGGGAAAGTGAGATGATGGCAAGATGATGGAGATGGGTTTGGGTGCGTTGGTTTGGGGGAGCTGGGGGACAGGACTGGGTGGCGATGCTGATTTGGGGTTCAGCGTGCACAGAGAGCACCGGAGAGGACCCACTCGCCGGAGACAGCGAGGCGAGAAGGGGCAGGACCCCTGGTAGCGACGGAAGACAGCCAAAGGCGTGTAAAGGGGGCTGCAGGAGCAGTCAGGGTGGTGGCAGGAGAGCGGCAGGGCGCGGGGGTCACCGGGCCAGGGGCCGCGAGTCCCGAAGGGAGCGTCCGGGCAGCGCCGGGGCCACGCACCATAAGGGAGGAGTCACTGCTGCTCATCGCTGGGCGCTCGCGGTTCTGAGTCCGGGGCTGGTGGGGCGGAGCGGGGCCGGAGACCTGAATCCGGTCCAGGACAGCCTGTGGCGGCCGGAAGTCGGAGGCGCCGCGTCCTTGGAGACGGGGCGGCGGGCCGGTTGCTAAGAGCGTCAGTCGGGAGTGCGAGGCGCACGGCGTCCACGTGACAAGGCGCTGTAATTGAGCGCCGAGAGGGCGAGTCCGCGCCGCGGCTGGGGACACCCGCGCCGCAGCCGGGCCGCTGCCATGGGCCTGGGCGCCAGCACCGAGCAGCCCACGGAGACCTCGGAGGGTTTCCACCTGCACGGGGTGAGTCGCCCCCGCGGCGCCGGCGACCGTGGCGGGGCGTCCGCACCGACGCGCCGGGACCCCTGATCGCCGGCCCGAGGGCGGCAGAGGCGGGAGCCCGGCCCCAGCGCGGCCGCGGGGCCGGAGAGGGGTGCCCCCTTCCCCGTGGGGGCGGCGCTCCTGGCCCCAGGCCGGTGCCGCCGTCGTGGGCCCGCGCCCGTCCCGGTGCCAGCTGTGCAGGAAGCAGAGCGTTTCCTGGTCGGGCCGGGCCGCCCGGAATTGCACCAGCTCCAGCCGGGACGCATTCGTGCACTTAGGTCACGCTGGTGATTTTCGCCGTGTGCCGCACTCCGTGCTGGGCCCGGGGAGACAGGCGGCAGCCCCGAGGCCTCGGCGGTCCCCGCTCCGGTCCACGGGGTCGGGGAAACCGGTGGACGCCAGCTGCTGGTGGCCCGCGGGCTCACACCCCGCCCGTCGCGGGGTCGGAAAGGCTTCTGAGGCCCGAGGACCAGAGCTAGCCAGCCAGGGAAAGTGGGAGCAGGAGAACCCCGCGGAAGACACGGGCAGCGTTTGCAGCGGGGAAGGGTCTCAGGGTGCAAGATCTCGGGGAGGCACTCCGTGTGGCTACAAGGCGGTGTGGGTGTGAGTCCTGGGACAATGGAGATGGAGTGGGGTTCCTCTAGTCGCAGGGCGAGGCGAGGGTCCCGCAGCCCGATGGAGACTTGGGGTCAAGATTTACACTGTGTGCCTGGTTGAGCGTCGACCCACGCACCAAAAGGTGGCCGGTTAGATTCCGGTCAGGGCACATGCCCAGGTTGTGGGCCCTGTCCCCAGTGCAGGGCATGCGGGAGGCAGCCAATCGATGTTCTCTCTCATCCATGTTTCTACCTCTCTCTCCCTTCTTTCCTCTCTAAAATCAATAAAGAAAAACTATATATATGTACTTCATACTGTGGAGAGGGCCTGGAGGGTCCCCGACCCAGAACAGGGAAGGACCTCTTTTCCCTGTGCAGCGTGGATGGCTGCAGGGATGGGTGCAAACTTGTCAATTTGGTGCAGAGATGGGTGCAAACTTGTCAGTTTGGTGCAGAGATGGCTGCAAGCTTGTCAGTTTGGTGCAGAGATGGGTGCAAACTTGTCAGTTTGGTGCAGAGATGGCTGCAAGCTTGTCAGTTTGGTGCAGAGATGGGTGCAAACGTGTCAGTTTGGTGCAGAGATGGCTGCAAGCTTGTCAGTTTGGTGCCTGGCTATTGCCGTGGTCTCTGTATGGCAGGCTCTACCGGGTAGGGGGGTGAGTGGGGAGCTATTGAAAGGGTTTTCTAAAATGAAAGCTATTCGGCTTCAGGACCCAGAGGTGATGGGCTTTCTCTAGTGTACATCACGGCGAGTCACCACACAGAAAAGGTGGACAGTGGAATGCATCGCATCTAGCAGGCATTCACAAACACGGGTAGTTCTGAGCTACATACTTTGTGGCAGTGACGAGGTGAAGCAGCAAACAGAGCAGAAGTTGTCCCTGTTCTCGTGCAGCTTACCTTTGGGAGCCAGAGGGGAGAGAAGGGAGACAGACAAGAGATAGAAATATATAGTAGGTGGCGATCATTGCTAGGAGAAAAATAAAGCAGGGTAAGGGGACACAGAGTGCTGCGTGGGTGCTGTTTTGGACAGAGGGGTCCAGAAGGGCCTCTGATCAAGCCATGTCTGACCAGACACCTTGGAGGAAAGTTAGGAGTGGACAGTACAGGTATTTGGGGGAAGAGTGTTTTAGGCAGAGGGAGGCCCTGAGGTGGGGTTGTGCCCATGTTTGAGGAAAACCACACAGGTGAGGCTGGGATGCTGTGGGCTGTGTGCGCAGGAGGCGGGTGAAGGATGAGGCGGGCGTGGGGCCTTGCATGTTGCCCTAAAGATTTTAGATTTTATTCTGAGACGCGGAGCCATTGGGAGGTGTTTTGTTTTTGTTTTTAAATCCTCATCCGAGGATATTTTTCTATTTATCTTCAGATAGAGTGGGAGGAAGGGAGAGAGAGGGAAACATCGACTGGTTGCCTCCCACACGACCCAGACCAGGGCTGGAACAAACCGCAACCGAGGTACATGCCCTGGCCGAAATCGAACCCGCAACTCATTGGTCCGTGAACCAACACTAACCTCTGAGCCAAACCGGCCAGGGCCACTGGGAGGTTTTAAGTGGAGGTGTCACATTACTTACTTACGTTTTTGACAACTGAAGAGCAGGTATGCTGCTTTCTATAAATATTGGCGTTTCCAGTGTGTGCCAAGCACATTGGAGCGGTCCCTGCCTTCAGCGAGCTTGGAGCCGTGGAGGATTCGCCGGGAAACGTCTGGTACAGGGCAGTGGTTAGGAGCAGGCTCTGGGGTGGGTTTCCTGGGGTCAGATTCCTGAGTGACTGAGCACTTTTCCTCCTCCGTCAGTTGGGGTCAGTAAAAGGGTGAAATGAGGGGTAAAGCAGGTGGTGCTGTCCCCTGGCACCCAGCCAACTCTCTGAGTGTGAGCTGCTGTTACTGTTAATCACAAGAGGTTCCCTGATGGGGGAGTATGGGGGGGGGGGTAATGGGTTGTGGGGCTGTGGGCTTGGGTGTGATGGGAACTGCCAAGGGAGAGCCAGCCAGAGGGCCGGGCGGGAATGGGGGTGCAGTGGGGGGCAGCAGCCCGATGATCTCCACTTAGGGCCATAGTGGGCAGTGACAAGGGCCAAGGCAGTGAGCACAGAGGACAAGGCCACAGGAGAGGGTAGGCAGAGGTTCTGAATGGGCTGGGAGGGGCTGGGCCCAGAGTCTGGAGGCCTGAGCCTCATTAATGCTGGAGGGCAGCGGTATGGGCAGGCCCTGGGTGGCCTGGCCTCGGGGGCAGCGTCTTAGCGGAGGGAGGTGGAGTGGCCTGGGGGTTGCCCCGAGCCTGGAGGGCACCTCTCCCCGCGCTACTTCTGAGAAACTGTCCATTGGTTTTCAGTAGCCCTGCAGTCCCAGCTTTCCCCTGAGGGGGTGGTGAGCAGGGCCAGGCTCGGGGGCCCAAGTGGTGCATTCTCATGGGAAGCCATGGCGGCCTCTGAGGTCGATGCAGGGCTCAGTTGGTGATGCTGCCACGAAGGAGTCCAGGGGTAAATTGGCTTTGATCCAGAGGCTCAGCAGTGAGCTCTCCTTCAGCTTGGGGGAGACACGACTGGAGGGGCGGGTGGGTGGCAGAAGCTACAGGGCCTTCCCCTGGCAGAGGTGTCCGGAACCAGAGGCCACAGGAGCCCTGTGCCCTCCGGGCTGGTGCCTGGCTGAGGTCTGACCAGCAGGGCATGGAGTGCTCACAGCCAAAGGCCTGAGGGTGGGGGGCCGTTCAGGGTTGGGACCTGGAGATAAAGGCCGCATTGTTTGAGCAAGGCTGTAAATGGGACCTTTGAGAGGGATTTCTACCACAGCTGCAAGCCTGGTTGTGCTTTTGGAGACCGCAGGCGATGGGGAGCTCGGGGCAGGGCAGGCAGCACCCTTGGGCCAGGAATGGCTCCTGGAGGAGATGCCCTGCATGGGAGCAGCAGCTAGATTGTGTCTGGGGTTCGGCACTGCTCCAGGCTCCGTGGCTTAGGCTTCCTCCCGGCCTGCCCTCTTCTCCGCGGCCAGTCCTCAGCAGCTCCCGTCACCTGCTGGGCTGACCTTGGATCTGTCACTACAGGGTCTGGGGCCCTCTGGGACCTGGCCACAGGCTCCTTCCCGCTGCCCCTTTCTGGGCACAGGCTGGTTCTATTTACCCTGGGGCCTGCTTGTTCCCATTGTACGCTGGGCCCTCCCTTTCTGTCCACATTCGAACTGGTCTGGGAAACCCTCCTGGCTTTCCCCACAGGCCTGTGCCCCCCCTCCCCCCTTCCATGTGGCCTACTGGTAACCCCCAGGACTTCCCTGGGCTCTCCTGCGAGGCATCTGGAAGCTTGACCTGTGGATCATGATCAGGGAAGAGCCATTTTCCTACAGAAGGTAGTGAGAGGGGATGGAGTTTACCTTGACACTGCCCCCATGTGGCCTGTCCAGCAGTTCATGCGGTGCCTGTTTCCTTGTTGGGACATGGGGAATGGTGATGGTCTCTGAAACTGAGGGCCAGGGCTCCTTGGAAGCTGGGCTGACCCGGGGACTCCCTCTGCCCTGGGACAGGTGCAGGAGAACTCCCCCGCCCAGCAGGCGGGCCTGGAGCCCTACTTTGACTTCATCACCACCATCGGGCACTCGAGGCTGGTGAGCTCCCACATCCTGTCTCTGCTTTGCTGTGTGTGTGTGTGTATGTGTGTGTATCTTGTGTGTGTCCTCGTATGCCCCAAAGGTGGCCACAGCCCAGTTCCCACCTCCCTTTCCTTCTGGAGGGAGGCTCTGCCCAGCGCTCAGGTCCTGAGCTCTCCAGGGTGGCCTGGAGGGCTAATGGGCTTTTGGAGTTGGCCACAGGGCCTGAGGGGTCTGCCTTTGGGGCGTGAGAGCTGTGAGGGCTCCAGCCAAGGGGCATCTTGGAGTGGGGCAGCCTTGCCAGGCCCTGGACCCAGGAGGCTCTTTGTTGACTGTTGTATTTTGGGGGGGCAAGGGGAGGGGCTGAGGGAGGCAGCTTTAGCACTGCTTGGTAGGGGTTGGGGGGATGTCACAGTGGCTGCAGGCCCAGGCCTGCCTATGGACCTAGGCCTGGGTCCAGCCACTGCCCCGGCCCATTCCACACCAGGCCCTTCTGGGGCAGTTGTCCACCAAGGCCCTTGCCCCATCTCAGACCCAGACTTGTCTGAGTGGCCCAGCTGGGGTGTGGGGGTCCTTGGAGTCAGCGCCCTGTCCCCATAGAACAAGGAGACGGACACGCTGAGGGATCTGCTGAAGGCCAACGTGGAGAAGCCCGTGAAGCTGGAGGTGTTCAACATGAAGACCATGAAGGTGCGCGAGGTGGAGGTGGTGCCCAGCAACATGTGGGGCGGCCCGGGCCTGCTGGGCGCCAGCGTGCGCTTCTGCAGCTTCCACAGGGCCAGCGAGCATGTGTGGCACGTGCTGGTGAGTGGGGCGGGCTGGGCATGCTATGGGTGGGGCGATGAGTGGCATTTGGGCCACAGGCCAGGCGCTGCATGGGCAGGGCGTGTGGGGGAAGGTGACGGGGCCAGAACACGTGAAGTGCTAGGGGCTTCGCTGTAGGGAGGGGTGGGGTGTGGGGGCAGCTGGGCTAGGCCATTAGCCAGGGGGCTATGAGAGGACTCCCTGAGGACAGTGTCCCAGAGGGCAGCACGGTGTGCCTTGCTTCTTGTGAACCCTGTGACTGGGCACTGTTTATCCTCTATGCCATGGTTCCTGACTCTCCGCTGGGAGGGTGGTCGTGCCGCTGGAATGCCGCTGCTCTCTCTCTGCAGTGTGTTTCCTCTGGCAGGTGCCCCGACAGCCGCTGCTCTCTCTGCAGTGTGTTTCCTCTGGCAGGTGCCCTACAGCCACTGCTCTCTCTCTGCAGAGTGTTTCCTTCTGGCAGGTGCCCCGACAGCCGCTGCTCTCTCTGCAGTGTGTTTCCTCTGGCAGGTGCCCCGACAGCCGCTGCTCTCTCTGCAGTGTGTTTCCTCTGGCAGGTGCCCCGACAGCCGCTGCTCTCTCTCTGCAGTGTGTTTCCTCGGGCAGGTGCCCTACAGCCACTGCTCTCTCTCTGCAGTGTGTTTCCTTCTGGCAGGTGCCCCGACAGCCGCTGCTCTCTCTGCAGTGTGTTTCCTCTGGCAGGTGCCCCGACAGCCGCTGCTCTCTCTGCAGTGTGTTTCCTCGGGCAGGTGCCCTGACAGCCGCTGCTCTCTCTCTGCAGTGTGTTTCCTCTGGCAGGTGCCCTGACAGCCGCTGCTCTCTCTCTGCAGTGTGTTTCCTCTGGCAGGTGCCCCGACAGCCGCTGCTCTCTCTGCAGTGTGTTTCCTCTGGCAGGTGCCCCGACAGCCGCTGCTCTCTCTGCAGTGTGTTTCCTCGGGCAGGTGCCCTGACAGCCGCTGCTCTCTCTCTGCAGTGTGTTTCCTCTGGCAGGTGCCCCGACAGCCGCTGCTCTCTCTCTGCAGTGTGTTTCCTCTGGCAGGTGCCCCGACAGCCGCTGCTCTCTCTCTGCAGTGTGTTTCCTCTGGCAGGTGCCCCGACAGCCGCTGCTCTCTCTGCAGTGTGTTTCCTCTGGCAGGTGCCCTGACAGCCGCTGCTCTCTCTGCAGTGTGTTTCCTCGGGCAGGTGCCCCGACAGCCGCTGCTCTCTCTCTGCAGTGTGTTTCCTCGGGCAGGTGCCCTGACAGCCGCTGCTCTCTCTCTGCAGTGTGTTTCCTCTGGCAGGTGCCCCGACAGCCGCTGCTCTCTCTCTGCAGTGTGTTTCCTCTGGCAGGTGCCCCGACAGCCGCTGCTCTCTCTCTGCAGTGTGTTTCCTCGGGCAGGTGCCCCGACAGCCGCTGCTCTCTCTGCAGTGTGTTTCCTCGGGCAGGTGCCCTGACAGCCGCTGCTCTCTCTGCAGTGTGTTTCCTCTGGCAGGTGCCCTGACAGCCGCTGCTCTCTCTGCAGTGTGTTTCCTTCTGGCAGGTGCCCTGACAGCCGCTGCTCTCTCTCTGCAGTGTGTTTCCTTCTGGCAGGTGCCCTGACAGCACCTCTGGGCACCGAGCTGGTGCCTGGGGTCTGACCTTAGTGAGTCCCAGTGACTGAATTGTCACAGATGTTGCTGTTAGTGTCTGTCACAGGTGCATGTGCACATGACCTGTGTGTCCACCGGTGGTGCCCACGTTCGCAGGAATGCTTGGTGACAGGCAGAAGGTCCCCTGAGCGGGGAAGTGGCTGACTTTCTCGCCTCCTCTGTTGCTCACTGCTTCTTGGGGAACTTCCCAACCTTCTCAACCTCAGCTTGTCCGTTAGTGCGACCAGGCGATGACAGGGGGGCGGGGGGGAGGGGTGGCGATGACGCAAACCCCTCCACGTTCCTTAGGAGGTTGGGGTGGGGTTTTCCAAGGGCCTCGCTAAGGGAGAAAGCGGTCCTTGTACCCAGTCCCGCTCACCGCACTCACCTCCAGCCCCTCCCCAGGTGTCTCGACAGCCTTGCAACTGGGCACTTACTATGGTCAAAGTGTGGTTTCCATTCTTTATATATATTATTTTAAAATCTTCTCAGCAACCCTATGAGTAAGCACTACATATCCTACTTTTACTTGTTGTGAAACGGAGGCTGAGGGATTAGGTATTTGTCCTTCGTCACCCGGCTAGCGGTTGGTGGTCGGGAGTTGAACCCAGTCAGATTCCAGAGCTCAGTGCTGTGAGCCCTGCCCTGGTGCGCCCGCTGCTGGGCAGGCCCTGGGCCTGGGGGAGGTAGGGGAGCTGGGGGGTAAGGTTGGGGAATCTGGACTTGAGGCCTTGCTCTGGGGACAGAGGACAAGTGTCCTACTGACTACCCGAGAGGCAGCTCCCCGGCCCCTCCCCCACTCCAGCAGCAACGCCCATAGTTCTCGATTCTTCCCCCAGGATGTGGAACCCTCTTCGCCCGCCTCCCTTGCTGGCCTGCGCCCCTACACAGACTATGTGATTGGCTCAGACCAGCTCCTGCAGGAGGTGAGGAACCCGAGGCAGCCCGCGGGCCCTGGACGGGTGTGGAGAGTCGTGCTGCCCACGAGAAGGCGCGTTTTGTTGGGGCTTCCAGTTGCAGTGCTGGGAGCAGGGCTCAGGCGCTGTGTGTTTGTCACAGTCTGAGGACTTCTTCACTCTCATCGAGTCCCACGAGGGGAAGCCCTTGAAGCTGATGGTTTATAACTCCGAGTCCGACTCCTGCCGGGAGGTGTCTGTAACTCCCAACGCGGCCTGGGGTGGAGAGGGCAGGTACTTCCTAGGGTGGGAGGGCTGTAGGGTGGGGCCCTGGGTGGGCCTGGCCAGTGGGCATGGACCCCAGAGTCCCATGGTGGGCGGTGGAGGGCTGGGCCCCGGCCCTACTGATCCTGAGGCTGACCATAGGTCCAGGAGGCACCCTTTCAGCCCCCCGCTGCCATTGGTGGGTGGGTCGCCGAGGTAGGAAGGGCTGTGGGACAACTCCTGGCGTGACTGTTTCTGGGCTTCGGCAGTCTGGGCTGTGGTGTCGGCTACGGCTACCTGCATCGGATCCCAATCCAGCCCCCCAACTACCACAAGAAGCCACCTGGGGCCCTGCCACCTGGTACCTCGCCACCTGGTGCCCTGCCACCTGATACCCCACCACCTGGTGTCCCACCATCTGGTACCCTGTCATCTGGTGCCCTGCCACCTGGTACCCCACCATCTGGTGCTCTGCCATCGGGTACCCCACCACCTGGTGCTCTGCCGTCTGGTACCCCACCACCTGGTGCCCTGCCACCTGGACCCACGCCCCAGGACTCTCCTGCCCCTCCTGGCCCAGAGATGGGTTCCAGGCAAGGTGACTACATGGAGGTATGTGGAGTACCGCCAACCCGGGGAAGTGGGGAGCTTCATGTGGGCAGCCGGGCCTGCCAGCTGGGCAGCCAGAACTCTCTGGAGGTTCCTTCACAGGGGCCTGTCTGAGGAGCCCTAGGGGGCCCGTCTGCTTCTGGGAGCCAGTGAGAGCAGGTGGGCCCATTCTAGGCCAGTGGAACCCACTAGGTTCTCCTGCCACCTACATGGGGAGGTGAGGGTAGTGGCACTAGCTGTCATTCATGTTTTATGAGTGGGAAACAGGCTCGGAGGTGGGCGGAGCCTTGTTCTGTGCCTCATCGAGGCTGTGGTGGGGCAGGGCCGGGCTGGGCATCCAGAGCCCCCGCTGGGCTGATGGCAGGTCTGCAGGGGAGTGCGAGTCGTGCCTCCTTGGCTGTTGAGCAGGTTGCCTGAACGCCTTTGGGCACTGGGCTGGTGCCTGGGCCCTGGACCCAGGGCACATGAGGACTGCTTTCTGGGCATGCAGGAATTCAAGGAAGGCCCTCTTCATGTGGGTCCCTGGGGCCCAGCCAGGTGGGCACCTGGGCTCCTCAGCAGTGGCAGGGTGCTCCCTCTCTGGGTTGGCACTGCAAGGAAGGCCAGCGAGGCCTCTGTCTGACTCCACATCACCTGCAGAGAGGGGGAATCACCCAGGCTGTTTGCTCCTTCAGGCAGAGCGATGCTTCTGGGGCAGGCAGGGGCGGGGCTAGGCCAGACTGTGCTGTCCCGACTGCCCTCCCCGTTCTCTCCTTCATGGCTTCCCTAGGCCCTGCTGCAGGCACCTGGCTCCTCCAGAGAGGGGCTGCTTCCTGAGCCTGGGGGTCTCGGCTATGGGGCGCCAGACCTTGGGGGACTTCCACGTTCCATGGAGACTCCTCTTCAGCCTCCACCTCCGGTGCAGCGAGTCATGGACCCAGGTAGTGAGCAGGCCCTGGAGAGGAGGTTGAAATGGGCCCCGGGCTCAGGGCTGGACTTTGATAATAGTGCAAAACCTTCCTCAGACCTACTGACCCCTACTGCCAAGATGGTTGCAGGTGACTATATCCATTGTGTGGATGGCAGAGAAGAGAGGTGGCCTGCTCAGGGTCACAGCACACAAAGGGCAGAGCGGGGTCTGGGCCTCTGCCACTGTGCTAACTCCCATGATGCCCAGTGCCAGGCCCCTTCCTTTCCTTAGAGACAGGCAGTGGGGAACCTCTTTGGGTTGAGGTGAGTCTCAGGCTGAGCCAGATGCCCAGGAATAGGGCAGTGAGCCAGGGTACTTTGCTAGCAGTCAGGGTTTTGTGCTAGCAGAGAACTGTGCCCTTCCCCTAGGCTTCCTGGACATGTCGGGCAGCTCCCTCCTGGACAGCAGTGCCGGTGTCTGGCGCAGCCTGCCCGCTTTCCCAGAGCTGGCCTCCGCCTCCGCGTCAGCCTCAGGGCTGGAGGACGTCGGCTCCAGCAGCGGCTCTCACGAGCGTGGTGGTGAGCGGCCTGCACCTCCCGAGGCCTCTGGGAAGGGGTTGGGAGGGCTGCCCCGTTTCTCAGGTGGGTCAGAGGCTGGCCTTTTGGAGGAATACGGCCACATCCAGGCATTTGTACTCTAGCTCTCCCATCCCCCGTCAGCATCTGGGGTGGGTTTGGGGGTCTGTGGGGTTACTTCCCAGGCCACACTGGCCCCGGGTTCTGCAGGCCTCCTCAGCCCCATCCTGTGTTTCAGGTGAGGCCACATGGTCTGGGTCAGAGTTTGAGGTCTCCTTCCCGGACAGCCCGGGTGCCCAAGCCCAGCAGGACCACCTGCCTCAGCTGACCCTTCCGGACAGCCTCACCTCTGCGGCCTCACCAGAAGATGGGCTGTCTGCTGAGCTGCTCGAAGCTCAGGCCGAGGAGGAGCCAGCAGGCACCGCAAGTCCAGATGGCAGGGCGGAGGTGGAGGCTGAGGCTGAGGGGGCAGCCAGCCCGGCCCAGCTCTCTACCCCCAAATAACACCCTGGGCTCGGACGAGGCCCTTGATGGCATCTCATGAGGCCCCGATGTTGGGGGCGGGGGGGGTGGCTCAGGCCACAGTGCGGGGCCCAGCCCCTTGCCTGATCCCAGCTCAGTGTCCAGCTTCCTAGGCTGCGGTTCCGAGTGATATGCAAGGACGCCTGCAGGTGGGGAGCTCGTGTCCACTCAGACCCTGCTGGTCTCCAAGAAATGAACTACCAGCCTTCTGTGTGATGGTCCTGGCTTTGGGGAATTGGACATTTGTTTGAGAATCTCAAACAAGTCCTTTTGGGGTAGGAGGGAGCTGGCAGCAGCTCCCCAGGTAAATCAGTTTTGCGGGAGCTGGAGCAGGACAGGAAAGGCTTCTTTGCTGCTTGTGTGGGGCATGGAGCCTCTGTGGGTGGTAGGAGGAGGTGTGGGCCTTGGGGAAGGGCATCTTTTGGCCATGTACCCTGAGGTCCAGTGCTTGCTTCTGCTTGGTCTCTGCGGCTTCCTGGGGGGCAGCAGGGTCCAGGTGTGACGATAGGGGGAGAAAGAGGCTGCTGTGCAGGGTTTGCCCCATTGCTTTGTAGAGCTCCCCTTGCTTCTTCCTGCACTGGAGGGCACCCCACCCCTGGGGAACCTGAAGCCCTACTGCTGTCTGCCCGTCATGTGCCCCCATCCCTGTGTGACAGTGCACAGCTGGTTCAGGCTGACACCTGCCAGTCACAGCTGGAGGAGAGGCAGTGCACTTGCCCACCTCTCCTGGGAGAGGGCTGGAAATTCACTCACCTGCGCTTGGACCACAATGTTTCTTCCTCCCCAGGGCCTGTCCCCACAGACCTCGTATCCCCAGTGGTGAGCCCAGTCAGCTCCCAAACTGCCACAGCAGTCTCTTCTAAATACACAAGGCATCCAGCCAGCCCCAGTGGTGAATAAGACACACACCTACATTCACCATCCTAAGCAGCCTCAAAGCCAGTCCCAACTGGACCTCTTTACATAGGGCTCCCACCACCGGAGGAAACGCGGCCGGGACAAGAGTGGGGAGTGCCCTTCCGTTCTTCCCTCCCACCACCGGGTGCCTTGGGAGGCCAAGGCCAGGACAGGTCTGCTCTGGCCTAGAGGAGAGGGCTCCAGCAGGGGCAGCTTGCATCACCTCGTCCTCACCTGCCTTGGCTAGTCCCTCACCTTCCCACACTCAGTGCCGATTACAGCGAAAGCTGCCTCTGTCCTCGTCTTCTAGTCTCTGTCCTTGTCAAGCCCCCCTTTGCTGCTTGATTTGTAATGTCCGCACTCACAAGGAAACTCAGAGCTCCATTAGGCCCTTAGCACGAGGACTATTGGCCGTGGGGGGCACAGACCAGTATATGGAGGAAGGGCCCCAAATTAGCCAACACTAAGTTTCTAGCACTCTGCACTGAAAGCAAGCCCTGTCAAGCCCACCAGCGCAGCTAAGGCTGCAAAACAGGGAGGCCTGCGTCCAAAGCCAGTGCTGGAGCTGGTCCCAGTGTCCGCCTGCAGAAACCCGGGAAGAAGGGCAGCTCCCCTGGCCGACCTGGCACTCTGACCCAGTCACCCTCAGCGTGGGCTCTGTTCTTCTCCACTTTACACTCCTCTCCCTAACTGGAGGATAAAATGGGTATCAATGCTAATCATTTCTAGGGTCAACATGAAACCAGAGGTTTCTTAACTTCTCTGTAATCTGCTATGAAGGAAAATGACCAGTGAAAGAAATAAACATGTACTATACTTTGAATATTTTAACTAAAGCCTTTATTCTATACAACTGTGAAATACAGATTTTTACTCTTTTGGCATTGCAGACTGTCAAATTTTCTGGAAACTTACTGGTTTGGAAGAAAAGAAAAAAGTACAACCATGCTGGGGTCAGATCTATGACAGGAAGGGAGTGCAGCCGCCCCTCAAGGCTTGGCACACGGGCAAGGTGGCCCAGCAAACCCCCTCCTTTAGCCCAAGGGCCCCTCATGCAAACGCAACTGAGGGCTGGTCAATGAATTTTTTTTTACATTAATTTATGACTATTGCTAAAAAATGTGCACCAAAAGTGCACTGTTGTATTCAACAGATAGAAAGGGTTGTTTACAAAAGAAGCAGGCTGCTCTCTGCGTGAGGGAGGAGAGCTTGGTGGCAATGTGGCCTTGGCTCACTTCCTCAGAGAGCCAGGGCAGCGGCCTGTCCACTTTCCCGGGGAGGCTGCCCAGCAGCGAGGGAGCCCTGGCTCTACAGTTGTGCCCATCAGAGGGTCTCAAACAGCAAGGTCTGGACCCAGGCCCACCAGCTGCCTTCAGCTGCACCTGTGAAGATGTCAAGAAGAAAAACCTTCCCCAGGCCCTGCTGTTGTGGGCATGGCCGCACACGAGCTGGGGCCCTGGACGGGAAGACACGCCCTCTGAAGGCACTTGTGCTTCTGGCTTCACAAAGGAGGCTTGTCTCGTGCAGTCTGATGGGTGGACCACTGTTCTAGTCTGAATACAAATGACCTTGGGGAGGATCCAAAGTGTGTTTGTCTGCCAAAAGTTGAAGTGTTTATCCCCAATAAGTTATATTCTGTACAAGATCCAAATGATTCTATGAAAGCTTTAGATTGTTAGAAAGAACAGTGAAAAGAAATCTGGATACAGGTACAACAAAAACCTGCATATAAAACTCTGGAAAAACAAACTACACATATTTCCAGGCTATGAATTACCAAAGTAACTCACCATGTCATTTTACTGACACCTATTAATTTTAGGTAGCATTTAAATGGAGTTAAAATTTCACCAGGGTCTTAAGTTTTGATGGTGCCTTGCTGCTCAGCAGAGCGAGAACCTATCACACTGCCCCTCACGACACAGTAGAGGAAGGAGGCAAACAGCTGCACCTCCCTGTGGCTGTCGTAAGGTCTGGGGCACTGGGGTTGGTGTGGCATCACTGGGCACAGTGGTCCAAGTGCTACAATCCAGCCCCTGAAGTTCAACAGATTCTCCTACAAGAACACATCTGAGGTGCAATATTAAAAACAAGCCCAACAATCACCATTTGTTATGAAATGGGCTGGCTCTTGAACTGTGCGACAGCAAGTTCCTATTAAAAAAAACTGTCTTAAATGGTGAAAACAATTTGTTTGTTTTTAATGACAAACTTGGAAAAAGCCTTCATAGGTACTGCAGGAATGGAATGTACTCTTAGAAAAGCTACACAGCGTGTTTGAAATTGAAACACAGTGACAGATGTGGCCGTACGGGTGTGTTTCTAACAAGTGCTAACAAAGATAAGGTCCTTTGAAACAAGAGGAGGAAGCCAAGCCTGCGCTGGCCTGGCGCCAGTCCTCTGTCCATCTCATAAGACAGTGTGCTGGGGTTCTGCTCGCGCACTCTGCCTCCCTGGGGACAGCTGGATCTACACAAGGAGACTGGTTTCTATATTACATTTCGATTAGTCACTTCAACTGAAAGAATTTCAGTCTATACCAAATCGGCCGCTAGAAGTCTTGCTCCCACTGGGGCCAGTGGGCTTCCTAGGACTACTCTGGGGCCATAGAGGAAGTCAGTACGTGAATACCCAGGAGCGCTTGCCCACACTTCACGTGGACTTCTGTCGGTAATGGAGGGTGAGGTCCCCACCACTCTTCCATATGAAGTGTTTCACTGTCCGAAGGTCCATATTTGGATCCAAAACCTGAACCGCAAAAATAAATTAGAAATGTCAAAGCCTCTAATATCTAAGACCTTTACTGTTCACTCAGGGACTCTCATCGGGTGATCCAGCTTGTCCTCCCCTCCCCCACGCCAGGGGTGGTCTGCTCCTGTTGATGTGACGGTCACGTGTGCAGACCTGGGCATGGGGAACACGCAGCCTGTGGCTAGACGGGCAACACTGTCTTGGGCCATTCCTCGGGAGAAAGGCCTTGAGTGCCCTGGCCGGTTTGGCTCACTGGTTGGAGCATCGGCCCATGGACCAGAGAGGCCTGGGTTCGGTCCCCCCTAGGGGCACATACCTCGGTTGCAGTTTGTCCCTGGCCCTGGTTGGGTTGTGCAGGCGGCAACCACTCAATATGTCTCTCTCACATCAATGTTTCTCTCTCTCTTCCTCCCTCTCTCCCTCATGCTCTATGTGAAGATAAATGAAAAAAAAAAAGTCCTCGGGTGAGGATAAAAAATGAAACAGCTCCACCCAACTCCACTTCTAACCCTAAACTAATAACAGAATCGGCTCTGCAAGTCAAGATGATCTTGCTAGGGCCTCACACACAGGTGGCAACACCAGAGCTTCTCAGAGTCTCTTTAGAAGCAGAAGCCTCCTGAAGGAAACAGCCTTGGGAACCGCAATCACACCCCGTTACGTAACTGCGCACAGCCCTGGAGAAGTGGAGCTCTGGTCCACAAGTCCACTTACCTGGTCCTGGCACAAAAGTTCAATCTTCTCCTCTGCCAACACAGCAATATCCTCTTCTTTTTCCTGTTCTCCAGGTTTTTCATTATTAGAAGAGCTAGTGGTTTGAGACTCATTATCCAAGTTGATGATTTTCTCATACACATGTTCCATCACTTTCCGGACTTGAAGCATGTCACTAGCAGAAAGTCTATCTCTGTAAAAAGCAAGGTCAGAGTGTGACAAGAAATCACTGGACATTGTCTTGTCTACATTCTTTGGTGTTAACATTTGATAAAGACGTATCACATGACACTATGTTTACTTACTTTTTTAAGGTTTTTGCTCCTGAAGATGCATGAGGTTGGAGGTAGAAAGGAATTTTGTTGAATTTGGGCATATTTTTCTGAAATATTAAAAGTAAAAAAATGGCATAATAGTTTCTATTAGCTGAGAAATAAAAATGATGTCAATAGGAAAACATGAATTACAAATTAATAGCTGTTTTACAGTTAAGTCATTTTACAGTAAGCTATCAAATTATCTAAATCAGCCTTAGACAAAATGTATCAGAAAAGTACAGTGTTCATTATGTAATATAAAGATAACATGTGATGTCAGTGGCAATATGAATTTGCAAGCATGGCTCTTTTCAAATAGCAATTTAAGGTATTAAAGGGAAACACATTTTATTTTAATTATTTAAGCCATACAAACCAAAATCTCAATTCTACATTAAAATATTAGGGCTGATCCCTCAAGGCCCCCCAAAAAATTAAGTGTCTTGTGAGAAACCCACAACATTCACCTTTGGGCAAAACCATACACTCTGTGCTGGTGAGGCCCATCATCCAACTGAACGGCCAGCCAGGTCCTCCCATCAGAGTGAGGTCTGAGGTTCTCCACAAGAGCGGAGACTTCAGTCAAACCTAGATGTCTACCATGACGTAAATCACAGTTAGGTGATGGATAAAATTAAATGGTCATCTTTTCTCTGGGTATTAAACCCCTCCGAGCCTCCATGCCATGTCCTATCTGGATGTCTCCTCTCAGGAATAAGCCACAGGCCGGAAGTCAGCAATGTATCCAGGTGAGTTTCACACTCAAAGGAAGGAGTGGTTTGCGGGGAGCTCGGACTTAGAGAAAACCACAGAATATCCATCAGGTGCCACACTGGCTTTAAGTTCTCGAAGGCAGTGTATCTGGGATAGAAAACATTTTCTGAATGTTCTAGAGATTAAATCTCTTTTCATATGGCTTTAGGAATATACAAAATAGGTCAACGGCACATAAGAGAGTCTAGAAACAGACCCAGGTGTATACAGAAATTTAGTGTATGATAAAGATAGCATTTCAAATTAGTAGAAAAAGGAAAGATTATTTAAAAATTGTGTTAGCATACTGGCTTATCCATTTGTAGAAAGTTAGCATCCTACATCACACCAGAGTAACTTCTAATAGATTAAAGATCTAGACATAAACAATTATCATAAACATACTAGAGAATACAGGAGAACACTTCAGCCACTTTAGAGTAGGAAATACATAAGCAAGACAAACTCAGAACCACTAAAAGTTAATCTGATTATGTGGAATTAAAACTTTTTGCCTGACAAAAATACCATGAACAAAGTAAAAATTCAATTGAAAGGCATAGATAATAGTCAGAGTTAATATTCAATATGAAGAGCTCCTATAGTTAATAAAAAAGACAAATAACCCAATACAGAAATGAGTCAAGAATACCAACAGGCAATTCACAGAAGAAACAGAAATGGCCAATATGAAAAGATGCTTAATCTCACTACAAATTAAAAAAAAAACCCAAACCATATTAAAACAATGAGATAGTCTGCCTGTCCTTTAGCAAAGATTAAAAGTATCCAGTGTTGGTGACGGTGTGGGCACTCATACACTATTGGTGACAGTGTCAAGTGGTACAGCCTTTGTGGAGGGCAATTTGGCAATATCTATCAAAATTTAAAATGTGCATACCCTTTGATCCAGCAATTCCACTTCTAGGAATTTATCCTAAAAAGTACACAAAGATACATGTACAAGGATGTTCACTGAAGCATTGTTTGTAATAGAAAACATTGGAAACAACCTAAATGCCCATTAATAGGATACTGGTTAAATAAATTATGGTACATTTATACAACAGAATATTATAGTCATTTAAAAGAAATGATCCAATGTAAAGACAGGAAAAAAAGGTTTAAAATGGATTTTGGAGTGAAGAAAAACCAAATTGCAGAACAGTATGTATAACAGGAGATCTTGTACAAAATAAAACAAGCTATATACATATATACGGATAACATGCTTATGTAAGCATAGAAAAGAGTACTAAAGGAATGTGCTGAACTCTTCAGTCATTAGCTCTGGGGAGGACAGGGAGTGAATGGAAGGGAAGGGCCGACTG